ACTTGGGTCCTTGCGCTTGCAAGGCAGGCCACAGACCGCTAAGCTAAATCCCCGGCCCTCAGTCCTTGTGCTTTCGAGGCGGGCAGCGGAACCACTGAGCTAAATCCCCAGCCCCATTACATATATATTTTTGTTTTGTTGTTGGCAGTACCAACCTAGTGGCAGCCAGTTACTGAGCTACAACCTCACCTCTTTTTATTATGAGACAGTGCCTCTTAATAAAAGTTGCCCAAATGGAAGGAGAAAAGTGGAAACAAAACCTTTGTAAATGGAGAGGGGAAGAAAGGTTGAAGGGAGGGGAGGGGAAAGGAAAAAAAGAATTAAGATATATTATGTATTACAGGTACAAATTTCCAGTGGTTTTTAAAAAATTAAATTTCCCAGGCTGCCCTAAACTTGTTTTGTTATTATTTACTCATTTTTTGTTTTGTTTTTGATTTTTGAGACAAGGTCTTGCTGTGCAGTCCATGCTGGCCTTAAACTCACTGTATAGCTCAAGCTACCCTCAAACTCTTGGAGATCATCTTGCCTTAGCCTCCAGAGTACTGGGACCACAAGTGTGTACTACCATGCGTGGCCTGCCCTTAAATGTGTGATCCTCCTGTGGCCTCTCAGAGTGCTGGGATTACAGGCATGTATCACCATACCTGTCTGTATTTACACTTTCGTATGAACTTTTTAATCACCTTGCCAAGTTCCATCAAGTTCACTTGGTTAGTAGAGGTACCTTTTGCATTAATAAGATTATGTAAAACACCCTAAAACTTTTAAAATGTAGTTTTATATTGTCACCTTTTTTTAGCTTTACATGTTTAAAATGCTTTTCAATATGAAAGTATAAATAAATTCCTGTGTACCTGCCATATAGCTTCCATAATTATCTCAATGACAAATCTTGGTTTTTTTTGGCGGGGGGAGTACTGAGAATTGAACTCAGAGCCTGCGATTGCCAGGCAGGAGCTGTACTGCTGAGCTACATTCCCCAGTCCAGCAAGTCTTGTTTTTATCTATACCCTATAGTTCCTCATATTTATGTTGTAATTAATCTTTTTGTTTGTTTTTTGTTTTGGGTACTAGAGATCAAACTCAGGACCTTGTGCTTGCAAGGCAGATAGATGATGGCATCACTGAGCTAACTCCCTGGCCCTGTTGTAACTAATCTTTGTTCTTTCATTTGTGAATCAGTCAGCCCCTCGCCCTCCCCCTCC